TTATTTGAATGGTAATGAAGATCGGCAAGACAAAATGATGTATACGTAATTTTCTCTTGAGATCAGATACCAAGTTTGGTTTCAGAAGATACACTCGTTTCAAATCTGTATTATTAAAATTGTTCTTGTATGTGGGGCAAACGTGTCTGATTGTCCAACTGGAAGCTACGACACCAGATTGGTTTTCCTTCACTGCCAGGCAACCAAACTTCTGTTAAGTTGTCTTGGGTTCTGTGACCGTGTAAGGTCGAGTAAAAACAGACTAGTACGTTTACAAACAACAACAACATGGATTCTATTTATTCTTATCTGTCACATGACTAGAGCATTCCAAATATGGGCAACATTACATGTAGGTACGAAATGTTTTCGTCATGGGTCATTTTTTGCCTCCATAACATAACGACAACGAAGCCCTTTGTAAATGTAAACATAAGACTTTCTTCAAAAGGTTGTCAAACTGTTCTTTCATTGTTTTTTATTGTTGGTAACAGAAAGATCTGAGTTCTTTAAATACAGTAAAAACCGGCGTGTAAGAACCTATTTCAGAATCTGTTTAGCCTAATGTCCTGGTAAGCACCATTTACATAAGAACCTGTTTAGGCTAACTTGCAAAAATCTAGGTTCTTATATGCGGATATTTACTGTAGGTAACATCTCCTTCGTCAACGTTTTATGTGAAACAATTATCTTGTAGTAACAGTAACAATAACATATATTAGACACTAAAAGCACTTTCTGTTTGATTTACAAGAGTGTTTCATGCAGCATTCTTAGCCCTTTACAGTTTATGGAATATAATATCTTTTGCAGCCCTACTGACATTTCTCTACATCCAGAAATGTTTTCTCTCCCCTGGTAAACTAAACAACTGGACTTGGTCGTTAATGGTTAAGAAATCTCAAGAGCTTTGCAGCATTACCCGGGTAACACTTATCATAAAGTACTGTAACATTCAACTAATTTAGTAGTAAGCATTACTGCCTACCACACCAATGTCAACTTACTTACTGATACTAACAAACTGAAACTAGAGTGGTTTTACATAACCCGTGAAACACTGTGTGAAAATTACTGTGTAATACTACAAAGTAAGCAAAAGGAAACAATGCAGTTAGTGTCTAATAGTGCGTACTAGACTACTATTATTTTCACGAGTTAGGTAAAGTCACTCCAAAACATACAGCTTGTAAAAAGCCCTTCCCAAGCCCCAATGTTATATTAACAGGAACTAGTCACAATGAATTAACATGAACTAACTTATAAAAATTTGTACATACACTGAAAATTAAAACTTGTCCCAAGAATGCAAAAACAATACTTGTGAACAGTCAATAATTTTCTTGTTCTATCACTAACTTTTGTTACATGTGACCATTTTGTCACTTTTCAGTCAGTCGAAACCAACTGTGAGCAAGGCATGCCTTTTCTTTAAAATTCTTCAGGTAACAATGCAGGTAACTACAAAGAATATAGCTGCTTTATAAACATTTTAAACTCTTGTCAGTTCTGCTGGTAAATGGGAAATGTTTAAAACTCGTGATAAAAGTCCAGTCAGCCAACACAAGAAAAATTTGAAATTCTCTGAGTTAGTTATACAAAGCTGTCAATGCAATAAAACATATTTACTTTACTCTGTCCAAAGTCCTTGCATTTGTAAATTGCAAAATTAGAATACATTTTAAACTGCTTTGGGTCGGTCATGTGGCTGACTGGGTCTTCACTAAGGCTGTGTGGCCAATGAAATGCACTAACCCGACTACCACCCACAGCATCCTTTTTGCATGCAGCAACATTGTAAAAAAAAAAATACAATGAACTGCATCAGTGACATTCCTCAATGTTTCGACTGGTCACTCAAAAACTTAACAAACATGTCACTAAGCAGTTTCAATTCAGCGTAGTAAAACCAAAACAAATATACAATTACTGTCGCCAATCACGACAAATGCAAACCATGAAACAATGAACCAACCACAACTCGGCAAACACATACAAATGTTTTCAAGTTTTGGGTTCACTGCTGAGAAACTAACATGTTTTGCTAATCAATTGCAGAGTACTGTCAAAGAAAACCTGAAATTCATTTCGAGACTCGGGTGAAAACCATTCTATACCTTAACCTGTCACTTCACTCTGTCCAAAGTCTATGCATTTCCAAATGCATTTCCTTTGCACATGGCAAGTAGTAAGACATGTTTAAACTGTTCTGGGGTTTTCATGTGGGAGACTGGAAATGTGATTTCCTTGCTGCAGGCTGCCACACGGGGAAAGCAGATTGTGTGATTAGGATTTCTTGTGAAGCAATCATGGTCGAAGAGGGCAGTGACATTCAGCGGCTCTCCATTTAAGGGGCGGTGCTTTTGGCCTGTCAGCCACCCCAATACACCAGATGGTGTGGTGTCCATGGACTGAAATCGCTCCACTTCGCTACTTTCAGTGTTCGTGTCATTGAAGTCCTTCCATGCTACTGGCTCGGAATAGCCAGTTATTTGTTCATCTTCCAATGACATCAGAAAATCTTGTAGGTTGTCAATGACTGCCTCTTCAAGTGGTCGTTTTGACGAGCCCTGTTCCGAGTAGCTTGGATTGACAAGCGAAAAGACATAATTGGCATCTACCACCTGATTTGAACCTTTCACAAAAAGAGGCTTGCATAAAGAAGCATTGCCCCTAATGACATCATATGCACCATACAGCTTCAGACCTTCACAAAATTCTTTCATGTACAGCAAACGCTTGGTCATAATGCTTAGTTGCATTGTTCCAATGACATCCTCTTTGTGGTCATGATCAATGATGCCAGTGTATCCATGGTCAACAATTACATCACACAAAGCACCTTCAAATGTGTCACAAGCTCTTACTGCGTCGAATAGCTCTTTGTCCTTTGCAGTGAAATGCCTGTCAACATCTAGGTTGCCAATGTTCACATCAGGGTCCAACATCAACTGGTACACACTCTCATCCAAGAAAGATGGCGCTGGTCCTCCTTGAGCCAAAGACACTGCAATGATTTCCCCACAGGTTTTGAAACTTTTGTTATGAACATTGTACAGTGAATTTATGGGGGCTCCATCTGGAAACACTGCCAGCCCCATATCATTAATCAACTGTGCCAGAAATTCTTGCGATAATGCACCGCTGTCTACACCATTCTCTCCACTATAGCGCACTCTTAGCACTTTTTCAGGAGACGATCTGTTGGCTTCTCTTTGCCACAGGGACAAAACTCTAGGAAATGGGGACCCTCTTCTAGAAACAATAAAAAACTGACCATCTTGGTCAACCTTTTGAGACAGGGACTTAATTACACTTGAAATATCTTGATGGATAGTACCCATTGACATGTTGTCATCTTTCCCATCCTCCATGTTCTCGACAGCGTCAATCATGTCAATGGATAACTCATTGTCAAACTCCCTTTGTAACTCAATTGCAATTTTCTCATCACTAGCAAACACAGCAGATGCATCAGGCTCTTCATCAGTTGTCAAGCTTTTCAGTCGCTTCTTCTCTGGCTCCTCAACCAGCTCATCAGTATCTCTATCTGATTCACTATTTAGGTCAAAGTGAAAGTCACTAAGCTTGCATAGGTACAACACAATTTTGTTGTAGTCCTTTCCAGTTTCTTCTTTGTATCGTTTGAGGGAAAAAAACTCTTTACTGGCAGATGAACCTGGAAGAAACTGGGCTTCTTCACCATTTTCAAGTAGAAGAATGTAGTCTTCGTTCTCATCATAGAGGTCGCTGTTAAAGGCTCTCCACTTTTCCACAGCTTTCTGCAGGATGACTTTGTAGGTGGCTTTGTTGGACACTCTCAAAGCAAGACGCTTGCCTCTCTTTGGTTTGATACACACGTTCTTGTCACTCCATACCATGAGCCCAATGTTGATCTGCACTTCTATCTCTTTGTCACTTGCACTTCCAGCCTTTTTGCTTACAATGGATTTCCACTGTTGGCCTTTCAGTTTTTTGAACATATTGAAAGATTTCACGTGACAAGTTGAAGCGTGAGAAGTTGAAGCGCATGATGTGGATGAATGGCCTAAGAGTAAAGATGACAATACTCATTACTCCCTAAGTGATTAATTGGAGGTAGCAAATGTGATATAGTGACAAAGAGAGTAATAATATTCACAAAGTTATAACATAAAATCTCTGGTCCTCTAAAATTCAGACTTGTGACAATTTTATCCTGGTTACAGCATCTGATGATTCATACAGTAGCACTTGGCAACTGTTGTGTAGCATGAAGTGACAAGAAGCATCACCATAATTCAGCATTTTGTTAGGTTTACCACTCACCATTGCTCATTGGTCATTGGTCATTTAGAGCATTGTATATATGGTGTGACTGATTGTGTGACTGATAATAATTTGTGCATAACAAGGGATCATGAGTTGTGTTAATTGTATTTCAGTGTAAACAAATTACCGGTACTGGTAGTGTGTTTTTAACATTACCCATGGCTGGTTATTACAATCGGTATTATGAAAAAATTATGGCTAATTATACACAATATAAATAACTTACCCGTTGCACGCAGTTCATTAGATTGCTCTTGGGAAGAATGAGCTAATGGAAAAATAATTATTAAGAAAATATTAAGTCTAAAAGATCACTATAAAAGTTCCAGTATTCCTTCATTACAATAGAATGTGCATTTCCAGAAAATAACCATACTCCCCCCACGGAAGGTTTTTGTTTTGCACCCCCNAATGTGATATAGTGACAAAGAGAGTAATAATATTCACAAAGTTATAACATAAAATCTCTGGTCCTCTAAAATTCAGACTTGTGACAATTTTATCCTGGTTACAGCATCTGATGATTCATACAGTAGCACTTGGCAACTGTTGTGTAGCATGAAGTGACAAGAAGCATCACCATAATTCAGCATTTTGTTAGGTTTACCACTCACCATTGCTCATTGGTCATTGGTCATTTAGAGCATTGTATATATGGTGTGACTGATTGTGTGACTGATAATAATTTGTGCATAACAAGGGATCATGAGTTGTGTTAATTGTATTTCAGTGTAAACAAATTACCGGTACTGGTAGTGTGTTTTTAACATTACCCATGGCTGGTTATTACAATCGGTATTATGAAAAAATTATGGCTAATTATACACAATATAAATAACTTACCCGTTGCACGCAGTTCATTAGATTGCTCTTGGGAAGAATGAGCTAATGGAAAAATAATTATTAAGAAAATATTAAGTCTAAAAGATCACTATAAAAGTTCCAGTATTCCTTCATTACAATAGAATGTGCATTTCCAGAAAATAACCATACTCCCCCCACGGAAGGTTTTTGTTTTGCACCCCCTCCCCCCCCAGGAAATTCCACTTTAGCATCATACTTTTCTTCTAAAATTTTGGGGCTTAAAACCCCCCTCCCCCTAGGAATATCCGAGACCTTCAATGGGGTGGTTATGGATTTTTCTGGAACTGTACAATATATTATTTTATAATTTGATCAATCATATACATCTAAGTCTACTGCATCTAACAGGAATTCAAATCAGCAAATCAATCAATTACAATAGCAATAATTACTATAAAAATGTTCAGTGCAATTGTACCTGAATTTCCTGGAGTTGTGGCAGTGCTGCACCGACCTAGAATAATTTTATGCAATAAACACATAGTTACAAACAAAGATAATGCAATAGCCCATTGATAGGATAGGACAAAGCTCTTAAAAGCTTGTGATTTATTGGTTTTTGCATTACACTGTTCACAGTCCTCTATTTTCCCGTAAGATTGTCGCGAATGTTACGAGCGGCCGTCTCCCACCCCCACCCCCACCCTTCCTGACGCCCGTCCCCTAAGTGTTTAGAGGACGCGTTCGCCTAAAAAACAAGATGGCGGCTACTCGTATAAACAATCGCAATCGCGACGATCTTACAGGAAAATAGAGGACTGTGAACAGTCTATGCCCCCATTGAAATGACCACTAATGTGTATCAAAATTGTGACTTGTGCAATCCTCTATTATAAAAATCGCATCTGCATGGTTGCGCTTTTAAACATAAGGATACATTTCATTTATATTTCATTCCACGACTATCCCCTATCCAAAGTGAGTCAACACAGTGCTCGACTTTCAGAAAAAAATCTTGGGGCCAGCTGGCCCCCAAGTTTTCATTTTTTGTCGCCAGAACAAGTATTCTGGTTGCCAAAAATTATATTTAAGAATTAATGGATTTAGTTGTGTGAAGGATAACGGATTATCGTTAGTGTACGTTTTCCCAAAGAAGATAGTCACCTATCTTGGGGGCCAGGTTGGCGACCAGGGGTGAAAATTTGGTCGCCACTGAGTAAAAGCTGGGCGCATTGGCGACCCCACGGGTCGCAACGTCGAGCCCTGCAACAGACGAGGGAATCACCGCTGTATAGGTGTAGCTGCTTAAGTCTGTAAATTACGGTATGAAAGGCTTGTATACACTTACCTGCACCACACTTGGAGCAAAAATTGTCCCCTTCTTCCAACGCACATCCACAGCTCGAGCAGAACATGGCGGGAGCGGGAAGAACTCCAGGGAAGAAGAATAAGAAGAAGAGGATACCGGGATTGGTACCAGGATACCTTGCAGTCACTTGACTGCTCGTACCCAGGCGTCGCTCGTTACTTGAATTCGGTGTGAGTTTATTCGAATTCGGTGTGAGTTATTCGAATTCGGTGTGAGTTTATTCGAATTCGGTGTGAGTTATTTGAATTCGGTGTGAGTTATTTGAATTCGGTGTGAGTTATTTGAATTCGGTGTGAGTTATTTGCATTCGGTGTGAGTTATTTGAATTCGGTGTGAGTTATTTGAATTCGGTGTGAGTTATTTGAATTCGGTGTGACTTTCTGGAATTCGGTGTGCACTTGTGGGCCACCGTAATGTAGGGATTATTTTTATTTTATCTATTACACTCAGGGACATGTGGGTATCTAAGTGATACCCGCCCCTTAAATAATATTTTGAAATTCTAGTTACTTAACCTTCTAATCTGAGATGACTTCTAATCTAGTAACCTTTTACACTCGGGGGCAGGTGGGTATCCAAGTGATACCCGCCCCTTAAATTATATTTTGAAATTCTCGTTACTTAACCTAGTAATCTGAGATGACTTCTAATCTAGTAACCTATTACACTCGGAGACGTGTGGGTATCCAGGTGATAACCGCCCGTTAAATAATATTTTGAAATTCTAGTTACTTAATTTGAGATTATTTCTATCCTACTAGCCTATTAGACTCGGGGACATATGGGTATCCAAGTGATACCCGCCCCTTAAATAATCTACAAAAGTTCACAAATATAATTAATTCAAGCGTTTCGGTCCATTTGAGTGGGCGCATTGCCATAACAGCTGCTCCGCGCTTCTTCTATTCTGCTGGTAATCTTCCCATAACTCGAAGATTTTGCCGGCATGGACCTGTACTTTTTCCGCTGCATTCTTGTAAGTTTTTTCTTGGAAACACGGCGGAGAGCAGTTAATCAGGCCTCTTGGTGAAGTAGGTCGATTAGGAGGTATAAGTTTAAGTTCTGTCTGTCGATGCAGCCCGTGGTGCCAACCTTCAACGTCATTGTTACTCGTGGTGGCCATCATGTATACGCTCCAACTTGAAGGGGGCCATGTGCTGTTGCTGATCCAAGTGTCTGACACGTACTCGACAAACTGCTGTAGTGGGGCTGTGGTAGCCTGCTGTCTCAGTTGTTCGAACTTTGGCGGGATTTCTTGTTCGGGCTGAAATGGCAACGCCATGAACTTCCGAAGGTAAACGTAGGTTCCCTGATCATTGCAATACGGCTGCTGAAGCCCAAGCTCTTGAATCTGTAGAAAATAAATCAAAAAACAAGGTTGTAATATTTGTATTGCGAATACCGTATTTATTCGACTATAAGCTGAGCGATTTTTACACAAATCAAAACTGAAGTGAATTAAAATTTGGGCTCTAGAGGGGGTCTCGGCTTATAGCTGAAAGTTTTTGAAAAAAAATTTTTTTCTGGCACATGGAAACTCAACTAAATTGAGATGTATTTGCCTATAAGCCGTGCTAAAGTAAGGAAACACAAAATGCAATCGTTGGTTATTAACTTTTAAGAATGTCATGGCTCCTAAAGGAGCCATTTGTTAAATTTAATGTGTTTGCACAGAAAAGATAAAGATTCTTGATAGGGAATAACAGTGACGCTGACGGGATGTGATTGCAAATCGATGGAACTTGACTGTTTGCTGCTCCAAATCTTCTGGGAGATGCTGAGCGAGTGTTGTTTTGGTGCGAGGGATGATGGAATGGCGGCGCTTCTATTTCTGGTACTAGCCGAGGGACGCTTTAAACTCAGGATCCTCCCTGAATTCCTTTGCCTTTAGACGTAGCATCAATCCGCTAACATCTATTCCTATGCAAAAAGAAGTGAGAAGGTTACCGAACGATCGAAAGGTTAAAAATTTGACACGTCTTGAATTTGTTTTGACATTTGTGAAAACTGGCCAATGAGAATCTTTCATACACAACGTTGTCACATGATACTACGATAGTTTTGAGAGTCACACATTCAACTCATATTCACTCTGCAATCAGCTGATTGATTTATTTCGTGATCTTGTTTCTGTTGTTTTAAAATACAAAATCACATCATAAACGTGTTGTTGAAAGCTCGAGTTAGCGCAAAATTTGGCAAGGGAAAATTTGCTGCTTGCTCAGTAGAGAACGAAGGATCACTATGATCAGAATGCAAAAGAACCTATCTTCGAAGTTGGTCAGTGCGTTCGGGTTTACATTCCGAACTAAAAAGGGTTTGCCTAGGAAACTTTTACATAATTGTTTAGGACCGTACTGAACAGTCGAACAACCTTCTCCAGTTCATTTTCGATTGCGCACTGATACTAATAAGAAAGTTACTTTTGCCGTGCGTGTGAATCGAATGAAGCCATCTATTGATCCTAGCTTAAGGCCAATTGACCCTCTATATTTTGATGATCCCAGTGAGGCTTATCTCGATGAGTCAGATATCCTGATGATTGTTTTGAGCAATAGCTTTCTGTTGATGGGAATATTAACTCTAGTCCGTCTAACGTCCAGATTCTCAAGACGGACTGGTGCAGTTGCAACCAAATCCTGTCTTGATTAACTCGCCGTGCAACCCTATTATTTACTATTTATGTGGTGATGCTATTTTATAGCCAAATTCGTTGTTCTGCATATTTTAGTAGACAATGGACAAGAAAAGTAGTGATGATATTAGATTATTCAGTCTTTTAAATTTATGGACGACATCCTTCGAAAAAGTTACCACATGCAACCAGCTCAGATTCAACTGAACCCTCTTTAATTAGGCAGAATTATCCTGAGAACGATTAAGTAAATTTATTTCCCTTTGCCTGATTTATAGGAGTGAAAAGGTAAGAAACGATAACAAAAATAAAAAAAAAGTTCTTAAAAAGAACAAAAATTAAGACAACTCTGTTGAATCCATACCGTTGCTTTGTTGGTCCTTGTAGAAGCTTGCTCGGTCTTTTTGCCACACTTCACTGATGCAGTCTCCTGCCTTTAAACCCTCTTTTGCTTCAAGCTTATTTCCTTCTGCAGTAATTTTCTTCAGCTCTCTCGGTCCTATCTCAGAACCTTCAGTTGCTTCGATGAGATTACATAATTCCTTAATTGTTCACCCGGCAACTCAATCTTTGCTTGTTTGTAAAATCGCTGAACGTGTTTGCTCAGCCTTGATCGTTGTTGAAGAATGTTCCTTGCACGTTTAGTTTTGCTGGCAGGAGAAAGGTATCTCCATGGGAAGTGACTACTTGGTGTTTGCCTCTTTAACGTTGTGGGTTCATCCAGGTTTTTTTTCTTCTTCACTTGTTTCTTCACATACCTTGTGGTGTCTAAACACTCAAGACATACTCGTTTCCACCGAGGGTCAGAGGCATTCAATCTTTCTTTCATGAGACGCGGAGGAATATGCCAAATTTTGCATACTTCTCTTGGGCCCAGCCATAATGCGGATATTCTTGGGCTCATATCCCAGTGCCTTGACATCTTCCAGAAATCCGGGGCACAGTGTTTGATTAGAACAAAGAAGGTTCTTAGCAAGATAGACAATACCGCCATTCGCCGATTCTTGAAGTTTGCCTGACTTGATAATCACATGTTCATATACTGGACACTGTAAACTCCAAGAGCCGTCCACATTGACAATAAGTCGAACTGGCTGGAATGGTCCTGCCTGTTTGTCGTAGGTGTGTTTTTGAGATGGATGCAACACGAGTACACGGCCAGGAGTGGCAGTTTCATCTGAGCTCTCGAAGGGGGGGGTACTCAATAGTAAGATCTAGTATCTCACCCACTAAATTTGCGGCTAAAATTTCTCTGAGCCAACTTTCCAGTATCTCTGCCCCGTCATCTAAAGGAGTTTTCTTTTTAGCTTTTCCTTTGCAGTTTCCGGACCGGCAACATCACCAATCGAGCTACTAGAACTTGTGTTTCCTTCGGTACGATCACGATCGGCGCGGGCGAAATTTAACGTCTTCCTGCTTTACTACCTCGTTCTCCCTCAGAAAAATTCAACTCATCACCAGAATGCTTCATTTTTGTAAGAAACTCTCATTCAAAAGGATTCTTTCCATAGCATCCATCTAAATAATTATTCGAACTGGGTAATCAGCCTGGTCTTCCCGGGACAAAACACGCTGGATATATTCCAACACTTTCATTATAGTCATATATTAACTGTTTTAACTGGTAACCAGCTTCCCCCGATCATAAGAGGAGGAATGGATAAAACATATAAAGGAAAACGGTGGTGGAACAAGGAGTAAACTTGTTGGCCAATTTTCCTCTTCCGACGCTATTTTTTTTTCTCACTACAGCAATATGCGGACGTTCTTGGAAACACTGTATTTTCGCGGGAAAGCCTGTTCTAAAAATAATTCTTTATCGGAAAGGGTTGACTCGAGGGTACAGCACATATGGAGGCTCCAAGTAATTGGCTCCTGGTTCCGTCAATCATCCTATCGGACCTCTTAGGGAGCACATGTTTACTTGTGATTTGTGCATTTCAATCCACTGTGTTTGTTCCTGTGTTTCAAGGTTCGTGTGATTCGTTGCTTGTAATCGCCCTGTTTTGGGCAATAATTGACCAGTTTTCTTTGAAGGTTTTTTCTGATCTTTCTTATTCTTGTCTCTTGCAAGGATAAAGCAATGTCTGCCTCCTGCTTTCGACAAAAATTCCACCCATCATCGCGGTTTCGTTTGCTATTCCCGACCAGTCTAGAGTCATTCTCAGTTTTGTTTTTACAGGCCATGCTGGGTGAGTGTGTTGCATTGTGATTAATACTGCCCCTGACTCAAATAATTGACGTAACAGAATAACCTTCGAAGTTTGCAAACGCACAGCGCAAGATACAACGAATTTGGCTGTAAAATCACCTAAAGGAAATTCTACAAAGTATTTGATCAAGTCATGGTAATAGCAGGCTGCCCGACTACGGAACACTATTCCCAATAACTTAAGAAATATCGAGAGCTACCGCAGTTTTAAACATGGACTCAAGGAGCTCAACTTTGCAAGTTTATAGTCTCTTAATTGTAATTTAACTTAGTTTTCTTAGTATATAAGTATTATAGTTCTATAATTTTATGCAGTTTCCAGGTACTACATCATTTTAAACACTTTTGTATAGTTGCAAGTTTATAAACCGTATTCGCAATTTAACCTAGATTTCTTAATAGTTCTATAATTTTATGCATGTACAACAATACTATAATTTAGACATCTAGGCAGCAGTTTCTCCATGTTCTCATCACAATTTGAAGTTGCTCCATCATCATCTTGTCCTTTTCTACAGATTAAGTGGTCAACACTATACAGGATCCCTTCCAAGTTTTATAGGGCTTGGTGTAACCGACACAAATGCTATCTGCCACTATGAGTAGTGAAGGTTGTGAGGGCACTTCATTCTTGCACCAGGAGACAGAAAATTTCTGTGTTAGCTCAGGCAGTTTGTCCATTAAACTGGCTGCTGAAATCTTTCTCTCTTAAGCGTGGTATTGAATGGTCTAGGGTGAAAGCAGATCCTCGATGCTCGTCTTTTTTAACTGCAACAGCTAAACTGCTGACCCAGTGGGTGGGCTCATCTACTGGAGTGATAACACCTTCTTGTAGGCAGTATAGATGCGAATTCGAGTTAATTTTTCCGCCTGGTTGCAGTTTCTGTTTGAACTCTGCATGAGAACAAATAAGTTATGGAAATATTTGTCATTCAACGCCCAAGTTCTTAGTTGGTATAAACTTAATAAAATTATACATGCAGGAAGACTTTTAGCCTGCAAACAGCGGACATTTCTCCTCGCTCATTGCAGCTGAGGGACGTTTTGTGAGGAGGAACGTCTGCGACTCAGTGACAGAAATTCCATACTGATGACGTAAAGCATTGTTCTATAACAAATTTGGTAGTCATGGGGTTCCAAATGCAAATTTGTTCAATTTTACGTTTCTCCTGGTCAATTTTGGACAAGTGTTGTGTTCTTTTGAAAACTTCCTCCAGCAAAGCTCAAATGCTTCTTTTAGAGAAGAATATATTCCACAAGTATTGACTGTTTTGTTATAGATTCATTGTGTTTATTTTGCCTTTTGTCTGCCATTCGCAAAGAATGGCTAGATCAGCGACGTCCAATCAGCGCTTATGGCTGGATTCCGGACAGATTTTACGTCATGAGTACGAAGTTTCTGTTGCTGAGTCGCAGCTGCTTTTAAAATGTTTTTTGTCATTGTATCACATGGGCGACAACATATGTGAACAGTACGTGAACTGTAAACACTCCATAACAGAATTAAAGACGAACACTTATCAAATGGTAACTGCCAATCCTCACTCTCGTAAAATTTAGGAATCTTTCCATTCCATGGTTTTTCAAGAATAAGAAGATCTCAGGACACTGTACTTGATAAAACTATGCACTTTGAGTCTGGGACGCATTTTGACCGCAAAAAGAACAGTTGATGCCTTCAGCTTTGATTCTGCAGTGCTGTGTCCTTGCTGTAATTGATTGATTTCATTTTGCAGCTCTGATATCTTTTGTTTCAGCTCAGGGTGCTTGTCCCTTAAATTACGAGCATCCTGAGGAGGTCAGGAAGGTGAAACACGTTTTGGTCATGTATGATTTGCGCATTTCATGTATGATATGCGCATTTGATCATATTCGAATGTTAATTTGCGCGCTATAAGCAATAAATATTATTATATTTTTTGATTTGTGACGGTTTCCACAGATCCGTGATTAGAAAGTGAAGATAGTAGTGAGCGCATCATTTTCGAAGGTGGCCCTGACCAATTCCCCTTTCGCACCCCATAACAATACTTTCTTTCACTGAATGGTTTTGGCTAATTCAGCTCTTATGTAGTCTAATGGTGATCACCCGGCTTTTTTGGTAAATGATGCAGCATTCACAAACCTTCTCCCTTATGACCGAGGATCTAGCTTTTGTTCAGTTTCCCACGCAGGAGTAGACATTTCTTGAAGCTTTTGTCTTTTGCCTGGTCCCAGCCATTGAACGGCAGGTAAATCTAGCTCACTGATACTCAAAATTAGTTTCCAATATTCATCTACTGAACTGGCATGAGCAAACATCACTTGAAAATCATCTGTCGTCCTTGTTAAGGTTGACAAAATCACCATCTTTGTCCTGGTATCGTATGTGCAAAAGTGCTGGACGTATGATGTCGCAAGCTCACCATAGGTTCATTAGATGTCTTCTACAAGCAAAGAGAATGAATACCTTAGTACTCTTCCATCAATGTCTGCTATAACGTAAAAGTTGACATATTTCTCTCTGCCATTCTCCAGTATTATTACTTGTTCACTCAACTTTTTCCACAGGGCTTGGGTCCAATGGAACACACACGTGTGCAGCCTTGCATGGGGGATCACGACCCCAGGCTGCTCTACTTTTAAAGTCCAATGTAATCTGTTGAAAGGTCGGGGCTGACGGAAGGATCTTGAGTAGCTGTTTCAACACTTTTTGGTGGTCATTCTTTTTTTGTCCTCAAATCGGTACAAAGAGGTTAAATGTGTGTCAGCAGAGCTTGAAAGTTCCGTCTTTATTCCTCAACCTGTCTTGGGCAAGGTGCTCCAGCTGCTAAGCGGTGACGAACGTCAGATGCCTATGGTTTTGTTCCAGCACGTCTCTGGACAGGGATCTTTCTGGGAGGTCTGCTGGGTCTTTTGGCTTTAGTTGCTGGTGGTGTCGGTTGGCTACTCGCTATGCACCTGGGCTTCAGCAAACATGGACAGGGGATGTCTTTCAGGTCTTCAAAAAGCACCTCTTCTATTATGGGGGATGTTGGTTTAAAGATATCAACAGCTGCCTTGGCCTCGAGTTTGGTGGTTATGCTGGTGGCTGATGCTGCACCAACTGCTGCTGGGTGGTTTTGAGCGTTTGAAACAAGGTGGAGAAAGCCAATGGAGTGATATATCACACTTGCTTTGCGTGGGTTGACCCCCCCACTGGTGAAAAAGCTGCTTTTCCTGGCAATCATTTGTTGTAAAGCCATTTTCTTTTCATTAACAACACAAGTATTATCAGATGTAACTGCCTGACCAGGGCTATGTGTGTGTGAAAACCATGTGAAGAGTGAACTCAGGTCTTGTGTTCAACAGTTCATTCACCAAAGTTCTTTGGATTGCGGTCTTTTTTCGGAAACGGTTTTTTCAACAGTTCAACCAGTGCCTCATAATTCGAGGACGTTAAGGCAAATCCCGCAATCGCTGACCTCACTGGTTCTAGCAGTAAGCCTCTGAGATATGAGAATTTATCCACCTTTGAAAGGCTGTCGTTTGAATGTATTGCACTTTCAAAGGAATCCCAGAACTCCTACCACTCTTCCAGCTTTCCGCTAAACTTTCGTACTTCCAGTCTTGGAAGTTTCTCCCTGACAGTCTTGGAGTTCACCGAGCTCGAGGTCGCTCCATTCTCGACAACGTTCTGGTTTAAAAGAC